CTCCAAAGACGTTCGCGGAAGGGGGCAAACCGAAAAAGTCGCAGGTGCATCGGGGCAAGCAAAATCGAAGGGCACAAGTTCCCAGGGCGCAGTTCCACGGCGCGCACCCCAATGTGACTGGGGCGCAGGAAAGCCGCAAGCAAGGGCAGGGCAGATGGGAATTCGGGAATGCATTCTGGCACGGACATCGGGAACCACGGCTGCGTTTTGCCGTTGGACTTGCGCAACGCCCATTGCCCGACAGGCGGCAAGCCGATGTATATCCAGGAGAACGACGTCCGAGCGCTGCGTGCCAAACTGACCGCTCTGGCGGTGACGGGGGCGGCCCCGCACCGGAAGGCGACAGCTGCTAGCCATCGCGCAACCCATGGCACCCCGGCGCCAGTGCAATTCAGGGGGGATTAGCGGGATGCACTGAGGCTGTGTTCAGACGCCAGCAGCCAGTTTCATTTGTTTGGGATGCGGACGGACGAGTGGATCGCACGATGTTCGATGGCGAGATTCCGGGAGAAGTGGGAACGACGGGCGAGGCTGATGACCGTGGATGGAGGATGGCCGCACTTGCTGACGAGCTGGGCATGACAACCTCAGGGACAGCGCGCACGAGAACGTCGGCATGATCGATCGGCCTGCGGGCCATACCTCAAGCTGCACATGGAAGGGTGCTGACGGCGGAGAGCGCCGCATCGACCACGCACTCCCGTTTAGGAAGTCGGCGCATGTGGCGGCGCAGTCGGAGGTGCACTAGGACGTCGACAAAGGGCTGAAGGTTGAGGACCGTTTTCCTGCGCCAGTATGTTCCAACGTGCGGATGCACAAGAAGGCCCCTGCGAAAGACTGCGGCAAAGCCGACCGCGCACAGCTCGGCGACCCAGCCAAGCTAGAGAAGTTCCGGATTTTTTAGACGACGCGACGGCGGACGAGCAGGGCGCCACTCCAACGGTCACGCACCGCAGCGCCAATCAGAAGTCGCCCTGGGCTGCGGAAGAAGCTTTTGGCGGGGACCCCATCGCGCCGTTGCAGCCGCGCGCGAGTGGATCCAGGATGCGACTGCTACGTTTGCGAAGGCGCGGGCAGCTGACGCTTGAGGCGGCACGAAGAGAACAGCGCAGTCAAGTTCTCGCGCCGTCTCCCCCGACAGTTTTGCGACGCGGTCGGCGAGGCTGCTGAGCGGGCAGCAGCTGCGCGCGCGTTTTTTCTGGAATGTTCGGCTTATCAGACAGCTCATGCGACGATGGAAGGTCTCTCGAAAGGAATTACATGGGTTTCTGAATGGTACTGGCGATCTTCTTCGAGTCGGCTTGAAGAGGGGCAAGACATGAATTTCTCGCCGAAGGCGTATCGCATTGGCGGAGCTTCTGGGACGAAACATTGCACGGCGGGGCGCGCCTGGATCAGAAGATGCCGAGGCGCGGAGGCCGCGCCCACCCGCGCTTCCACGAAGGGGGCCTTCTGCTAATGCGACGCGACAACGATGGCAATGTCACGGGGTCAGAGGGGGAATCCGGCAGCTGAGTTCAACGCGATGAAAAGGCAAGGGGTTGCAGGGGAGAGTCAAATTATCGAGGTGGGACCTACTCTGGGGGAGTTGGAGACGATGTTCTCGAAGACGGCGAAGTTCGCAGCCACTGGCCCGACGCGATCCAGGATGACCTTCGGCCGCGCTGCCCCAGGCCAGGCAATCCGCATCTGTTCCACAGCAGTCGTTGCGGCAGCGGCCACGGGGACTGAGCCGCTGCAGTTCGGGCACAGCACGATGGGGGAGGTACCAAACAAGAAACCAAACTTTCAGCGCGCGGAGGCGCGCCGTGCCATCACGCGGGGGAACCCCGCACATATGCATCATTGCACATTCCTTCGTGGGCAGGCGGCGCTGACAATCAACGCCATGCTCAAGGGTTTGCAAATCGGATGGCGACAAGACTGATGACCATCGATGGTTACTCATCAGCGAGGACTGGCTCAGCAGATGGCTAGAACGGTGGGCGTCGCACTCAACATTTGATGCGTCGCTCTTGTTGCGCAGTCTCATCGAGTGCTAAGGTGCATGGCTATCGCCATGGAGTCGACCCCACAAGTGGTGGATGAGCTCTTGCAGCGGGCCAATATCCCGCCGGCCTTTTTCCCTATGGCCAAAGCTTTTATTCAGGAGCCTGGCTTGGTAACTTTGAAGATGGACGACAAGCGCCTGGCGGACTTCATACCAGAGTCTCAAAGGCTCACGCGGCCCCAGGTTCCACGGGGCACGGCTGCCGCCGAGGCGCGCCGAGGGGGTGGACCTGGACATGGGCTGGCCGATGATGTGTTCACTGTGGTTCTCTCTAGTCCATTGAAGGATATGCGACAGGAGCTGGCAGAGAATATGTGATTTCCCATGTAATGCATTAGTAGATGGATCGACTCGGGCAGCATGTGGGGATGCAATGGTGGACGCGCCGGCAGATGCCACACTTGTTGGCGATGTGGCAACGCCAACGGTCTTCAATGATAACTCGGGAACCACGGAAAATATCACGAATATGACCGAGGTGGTCTTCGTTCACGTCGCAAGTTAATGACGCAGCGGAGCTGAATTATCCGCCAGGCAAAGCTGTTGCGAGATCCTGCACGCGCGGGGAGAACGCCATGCAGGCCGCTCGCGTGAAATACAGCAGTGACGGCATGGAGACCCAGGTCAAATATTGTCAACATGATATTCTTGCTGTGAGAGCGCAGGCATCTTGGAGAAATGATGACACGCCTCGAATGAAAGGGACCAGAGCGAGCACGACGCACTCAACAGCACGCCGGAGGCATACGACCCCTTGGTCAGATGACTTCCAGGCCTGGATGCTGTGCCCAATCCAAGGCTGCCGCCTTTGTGGATCCCCTGACAAACAGCCGATTGCTCGATCCAGCAGAGTCGCGGCCGACCCTGTCCAAGAATGCGGCGCAGGGGGTGAGCAGGCTAACGTGGACTGATTCAGAGCAGCTGCAAGATTGAATGGGAGCTCGATCAACCACCAGTACACCAACGAGGACGTGATGATCGCCACCAACGGGATCGGCATCAGCTTCCTGGCGAGGATCCGTAGGCTCCGCCTCCTCTTGAAGTGCATATTGCTGCATGCCCCTGCCGCCCGGTGCGCTTTAGTGGACATTGCATGTGACGTAGCAGGAGAACGGAGGGCGCCCATGACAAGTGGCCTCGTTTGGCTGAGCCAGGCAGGCACGGAAAAGGAGTGGCTTGCGGACGGGGGTGTTGCAAGCTGGTGGTAGGCAATCCGCTGACGGCCGCGATGTGTCCGCTTGCTCCTCAATTCAGTTGGACTCGTTTAAAATCGCGGCAGGTGGACCTGTGCCGCCAAACAACTCGGCAGCGTCAGCGTCTGCCCCGCTTGCCCCCGGGCGCCCCGGCACGCGCGCGACGAATGCGAACGCCTTAGTCAGCATCGCTGTCAGGGCATGGAAGCACCACGGCCCCGTCATGCATTCAGGCGGGGTTCCAGCCGATAGGCATGCGCACGCGTCGGAATGTGGAGCGCGCGCACAGAAATCTGGCACGCGAACGCGCCTGGTACACCATCCGAAATTTCGAAGCCAGTCATGTTTCACTGCGTTGCGAGAGCACTGCGCTCCTATGACATGTGAGGGGAGCTTGCGAACGAGGACAGGCAGGGGAACAGGAATCTTGGAAGTAGACGGCACACGGAGCCAACGGCTCTGGCCCCAGTTTGGAGGCCCCCAGTTTGGACACCAGGCCCACCGGAGGAGCTCATCATTTGCCAGCCTCCGAGGGCCATGATATAATCCAAGGCGAAGGGCCGATGCCTATGCCCGGTCTTGGGAAATCGAATTGGTTCGCGGGCTTAGCGTTTTGTGGAAGGCCAGAGAAACCGTTTTTTCAGGATAGCTTCGAGCGCGGATACAGCCCCGGCGCCCCCGCGATCTTAGGGGTAGATCTGACTGAACGCGATGGCAGTTCTTGGCACGACCAAGGCCAGACGGGACGAGTTGTAGGAGTGCATTGCGAGCTTGGTCCAGAAAATTGGTCCGAGGCCGCTAGCCGTGCAGTGACGCTCCCGGGGGAGGGGCATGTCAGTCTCGGCTGTAATTGGGAGTAGGGTAGACAGAAGCAATCGTACCATCTGGAGTGTCATCGAGTTGCTTGCGCACACCGCGAGTGTCAAGATATCCAACATACTAGCTTGGGAGGGAAGCGCCCAAGGCTGGTCAACCCCAGAAATGGCGACGTTTTTTCTCGATGCGGGCGTTGCTGCAACGGGGGACAGCCTCACCAGCGTGAGAGACATTGGTCTGCACGTAGAAGTGGAAGTTTCCATCCGTGTAGATACGCAGCATTCCCTAGATAGGGCCGCGAAGGCCATGTCCAACAGTATTGTTCCAGCTTGCCCCGATATTGAGAACTGCCTCCAGAGCCTGCCAGGATTTATTGGCCAGCTGATCCTGACTGACTCTGTGGGGGGAGGTGGTGGGTCAATGGGGTGGGGAACGACGGCGCCCGAATTTGGTCCAGCTGCCACGGCCCATCAGAGTTTTAGCTACCATGGAGGAGGACATGATCTTAGGTACGTAAGTCGAACGGTAGCGGTGGAGGAGGAGTCATAGTCTCGCTTGCCGCCTGCGCAGGAGGGGATGGGACTGGGGCGTTTGTGATGTCTATGGGATGTGGGACGGGGAGGGGCGAATTATTGTTGCCTCGCTGTACCGTTTTGTCTTCTTAAGGTGTTGTGGAGGCCAGGTTAGGATTGGAGGTTGGAGGAGGAGGAACACGTTCGACACCCCGATGGGCCTGATCGAATTTTCTACGCCGCCTTGTTTGTGCTGCTTCTTGGGGCACCGCGGATCATCATCCCACGGCATGAGCGCAGCAGCAGGAGGGGGGCGCAGAAGGAGGGGAGGGGGAGGAGGAGAAGAAGAAAGGAAGAGGAGGAGGACCAGGGGGACGAGGCGTACATCTCCTCGGTGGTCTTGTCAGGGGGGCACTCTGTCCCCACGAGGGGTCGCTTCCCTTCGAGTCGGTGCTCGCGCCGTCCTCGCACCCGCTCAGCAAGATAGACGACGCGGTGGCCGAAGCACAGAAGGGTCGCTACTGCCGCGTCGCCGTCGACTGCGCGAGTGTCTGATCCAGGTTGTCCTCTTCTCGTTGCTCCTCGTCCTTCTCCTTTTTACGTTGGGCGAACCTGTGGCGTTCGCGGCCTCCTCCTCCTCCTCCTCCTCCTCCTCTTCCTCCTCCTCCTCCTCCTCCTCCTCCTGTTCCTCCTCTTTTTCCTCCTCCTCTCCCACTTTTACCCAAGTGGCTTACGCCATTCCGCTGACCCCCAGAAGAACGGGTGAGGCTTTCGGGAGTCTTTGGGGGGCCGCTTGGGGGTCTCCTGGGGGCCGCTTGAAGAGCCCGTGGCTCCAGCTGGCGGTATCGTTTGTCAGATCGAGCTGCCGTTTCCGGGCCTCTGCTGATTTATCCTCACCCGACTGCGTCTTCGCCCTGGCTTCGTCTTCGTGTGCGCTCTGTTGTACCTCCCGAGGTACGCGTGCGCGGTGGCGGTCCAGGACGGGCGGATCCTGGTGTTCGGGGGCGAGCTGGCCGGCGCCGGCAGCGCCGCCTCCGTGGAGCACAGGGGTACCAGTAACTAGGGGGGGAGGGCTAGGCTTCAGGGCGAAGCGCATCGCCGAGGTTCGAGGCTCGAGGTTTTCGAAGGTTTTCGTGGGTCCCAGCAGCCGCGGCTCGCCGAGGGCGTCCCAGCAGCCGCGGCTCGCCGAGGGCATTCCATGGGGGTACCCGGATCGTCCCGAGCGGTTGCCGGAGGTCCGAGTCATGGCCCGAGAAACCACCAGGGACGGGACAGACTCGGGGGGGGATATCGCAGGCCTCGAGGTTGGCACCAACATCAATATCGGTGGTGTTCCTCCGCCGAGGGAAGAAGATCCCGATCTCGGTGATGGTGGTAATATTCTGGCTTCCGAGGTGACCGAAATCTTTCTACCGATACCGAATTGTAGGATCATGTTCCCCCCTGTGCTGGTGTTGGTGCCCATTTCCAGGCCACCAAGGAGAGGCTCCAGGGCGGAACGTATCGACCCCCAGGGGCAACGCTAGGGGGGAGGGGGGGGGACGAAGTTCCGAGGTTCCAGGCGTTCGGGCGTTGTCGTAGGTTCTCGGCGATTTGACGTTCTCTGGTTGCCCTTCAGCAGCTGCGCCTCGCCGAGGGCGTTCCTGGTGTGCCTGGATCGTCCTGAGCGGCCACCAGAGCGACGAGATATGACCCGAAAGCAATTTGGGCAATGGTCGAGGGGGATAGGCTTCAGGTGGGAACGCATCGGCGCCCACTTGCCCTTTCAGAGCCCACAGGGGCCCGATGGCCCGCCCCGCCCAGGGACGTGCGGGTTCGCAATCGGGGGCCTGTCGCCGATCTATCGGCGATGCATCGCCGATTCCAGGCCGACGTTTCCCCTCTGAGCTAGGCCCCCCTCATCGCCTTGCCATCGCTCGGACGTCCATTCCCAGTGCACTGTGTGCCTTCGCATGTATTTCTCCTGTCGCAAGATGATCCAAGATGCTCCTGGATGGTCCTCGCCGAGAAAAGAAGGAGGCACACATCCGAGCGGTGCCAAGCCGTTGGCCCTCAGGAGCGCGACGGCCCCGCGGCGCGCTCCTGGCAGCTGCCGCCCCCGGTGCGCGCCCCCTGCTGCGGCTCGGCCGTGGCGCTGGACTCCAGCGGAGGGGGGGAAAGATGCACTCCCACATAGCACCCCGCAGTGGCGGATAGAAAGAGCGAGGGGTGCTGCTCGTCCCCCCTTGTTCGCACACTCGTCGCACGGCCCCATCCTCTGGCACTCTCTCTCTCTCTCTTTCTCTCTCTTTTTCTCACTGTTTTCGGTTTCTTCCTTTCTACCGTGCCTGCTTCGGGCCGAACGAAAGGGGGGGATGGGGAAAGGGGGGGGTACGAAATTTGCTGCGTGCAGCTGGTTTCGGCCCCGCCGCTGGGCCCATTCCTCGATACATGGGCGCCTCCCGGCGCCAGAAGGCGCTGGGAAAATCAGTTGCGTGAGCTGATTCTCTACCCTACCCTTTGCTACCCCCCCTTTCGTTCCCCCCGATTGTCTACATAGATCAGGCACGGACACCAAGGAGGGGCCGCCGGGGCCGCAGCAGCTGGCGGGAAGCCGTCGAGGGGCACCGTGGAACGGGCAGCTGCCCGGACAGCGAGCGATCCAGAAGTTATACGCCTACAGCGGAGACCCATGCCATGAAACACCTTGCTTGTCTCCAAGGTGCCTTGGGTTTCTTGGTTTTCGATGGTTTTGCGATAGAGAGCGTGACGTTCCCACACCAAAATTCAAAGGACGGCCTCGGGTCTCAGGGTTGGATTTCTTGTTGAAGGTTTCTTGTGGTCGAGCCCCTACTGTATTTCCTTCTCTTTCGCCAAGTTTGTCATGTGGGGCAATTGTTTACGATGCCACCGCCCTTGCGAGAAGTGGTGTTTCGCTGGCGAGCGGTTACTATTCCAGCCTCCAGCCCCTTGCCAAATCTCGATGGCGGATGGAGGGCACTGAGTAGTCTTATCGAAGGCGCCGTCGCCCAAAGAAAGACCACTCGCATCCAAGGCAGTTTGAGGCGGCACTGTCGCCAAATACTAGTTCGCGCCAATCAAGAAGTTGCCAGTACCGGTGCCGCCGCCCATCCCTCGCCGCCACGCCCTGACTCCCTCGCGTCGTAAAAATCACGACGGATGGTTTCTGCTATTTTCGGCCTCCGTGGTCCCTCGCGCGCTCTTGGCTCTGTGGTGCTTGTGAGGGCCCTCGCCGGGCCCTGCTGGGACCGTCAAAGAACGACTCGGGATGAAAGCCGGTCCCGAGGAATGGGCCGAGACCTCGGGGGGTCCGTTTTGCGAAAAAAATCCGAAGCCGCTGCCCATGCCGAGAACTCCGACAATGTGAGTCTGTCAATCCCAGCGTTTTCCCTCGGTTTCGCCCCCCGGGGCCTGCTCTTGGGCCTTGGGGCCATCGGAAATGCATCTGGGGCGAACAGATAAACCCGGGGAAGGCGTTGGGACCTCCGTGCCCGCGCATTGAAGAAATCATATCGGAGGATGTCGGGGTTCCTCGCCGCCACGGCTGGACTCGCCTCAAACTCTTGGTCAGAACGCACCCCAAGAGAGGCTTGAGTTTGGTCGGGGAATTCGTGGCCGAGGCTCGCCGTGGCCAGAAAAGCCCCTTCTCAGAGGAGGAACAGGTACCCATACCTCTACCCTCCCCTTGTTTTCCCCTTTTCGGGCCTCCTCGGAGGCCCTCGTCGCCACCGTTGGATTCGCCTCGAAATCCTGGTCAGAACGCACCCTGGGAGAGGTCCAGGGAGTAGCGGTATCGGTACCTTTTGGTCTCTCCACCTTCGTCCCCCAGTCAGCGTGCCTTGAGGCTGGAAAACCTCAAGAAGCCAACAGAAACATCCGAACACCTCAAGAGCCAACGGAGACGTCCGCAACGTCCTCGTGGCGGCACGATGGTTAGGTGCGTCATGCGTGAGAGCCATTTCAGGCATGAGTTGTTGTCTTCCGCTGCTTCGTAGTGGTCGCTAATAGGCGCGAAGAGGCGCTAATCTATTCTAATAGGCGCCAACAGGCGCTAACAGGCGCTACTAGTCGCTAATAGGGATATCGATAGACACTAAGAAGCGCGACCAGGGCGGAACCTGTCTCAAAATCACCCTCGCACATAATGCACGTAACGACGGCTGCAGCGGCATCGGTACCCGCATGGCCTCTCCCAGGACTTGGCGGGCCGACTCGCCTTCAACCTCGGCGGCCTCGGGCTGAACGGCCAGGCGCTCACCGCGGCCGAGGGCCTGGAGCTGGAGCCGGTACTGCCAGCGCCCCGGGCTGCCCGCCCCGCCCTGCCTTGGAGGCGACGATAGCGGCGAATAGCCCAGTGGACGCAAAACACCCATCAGAAATCTTCAGAAACAACCTGAACTTTCATGGACGCCAGATGTCGCTTACGACAATCAAGGATCTGGACTGGACCGTGGGCGTTTTCTTGGAGCATTTGTTTTGTCCGTATCCCTTTCGTATAACTGGACCTGGATTTCTGCCTAATAAACCGCTTCGAATGAAGTCGATGGTCTTAGCATACCAAGTATTAACTCGAGGCAGGAGTGTACATGTATCTAGAGGCGCCGATGATCCATGTCTTCGGTGAGGATCCTCCGCGAATGCGTGTATTGCTCTCGCCTGGGCTATTTGCCCGCATCGTCGCGCAACACGGAGAGAGGGGTGGTCGGCTGCGCGCAAGAGTGACCTTTCGCCAGAATGGCCTCTGGCGCGGTCCCCGGATGACTGAACGCGATGGGATAGCAGCGTCTTGCGGGCTCATCTCAGGTTTGGCCTCCGTGCGGCCCCCCAAAGTCGCCCACCAAAGGTCACTCTTGCTTCGGGACACTCTTGCGCATAGCCGAAATGGGACCAGACGTCTTCACGTTGCCTTTTTGTTTTGTACGTTTTTCGTTGGCACCTGAGGTCTTCGGAGGTTTCCGTTGGTTGGTTCCTGCAGGTTTTCCAACCTCGGGATGTTTTTCAGCAACTGCGCCTCGTAGACTGCGTTCAAGGGGTGCCCAGATCGTCCTGAACGGCCGCTGGAAGCCCGAGTCATGGTTCGAAAGCCTGACATCTTTGCGTCGTGCGAAGTCATGACGGTTGCTTTTTATTGTTTTCGACCCTTTGGGATCCGAGTCGTCCAAGAACGGATCAGGATGAAGCATGCTCGGAAATCATAACGGCAGGTTTAGGCAGCTTTCGGTCTTTGGGGGCTCTTGCCGGGCCCCAGGGCCGTCAAAGAACGGCTCAGGATGAAGAGGCCCGGTTCCTGGGAAGGGGTCCTGACCTCAGGGAAGCCACGTTGCGAACAAAAATCGAGGTCGGATATCTGCGGCCGCCCATCCCCCCGACGCGCGCGGCGGGCGCCCGCGGCAGACGATGATATGTCTTGCTTGATCCCAGCGCCTCTCTTCGGTTTCGGCTTCTGCGGCCCGCCATCGGGCCTTGGCACAACCAAAAATGGATCCGGTGCGAGAAACCAATCGGGGGCGGCCAAGAGGGGGGTGCTGACTAGGGGGGGGGTGGATATCATGGCG